GGGGGGGGGGGTCGAACGACCCTTTCACAGCTGTCGCCGGATTCATAACAGTAGCAAAATTTGAGTAATGAAGTAGCAACAACAAAAATTTATGGTGTGGGGGGGGTAGGGTCACCACAACATGAAGAACTATATTCAAAGGTTGCGGCATTAGGAAGGGTGGAACCACTGGTCTACAGGAATGGTGCATGTCGGTGGAGGACCAATGGGCCAGGACTTGCTATCCCAGCCGACAGGGTGTCAGGTGGGTACCAGGGCCAGGAGTGTGCTTTCTGAAACTCAGGGAAGGAGAAGGAAAGCACACCTTCTTCACATGTCCTTGGAAGCAGGTTGCAGGGCCGGCCTGATCCACGGAATGAGTCAGGAATGGGATGGACAGCGAGACACTGGAATGCTAGGAACGTGCTGTGCACTTCCAGGGAACTCTATGCTACCAGCCGCCTGCCTGCCTCTGTGGTGTGGGATCCTCTGAGAGTCCAGGAGCGTCTGCTGATCCTCTTTTGTTGCCTGCCTTGTTTTCTGACCATCACTTAGTCTTCTCGGTGGAAACGTGCCACCTCCTTTAGTGAGTACTGTTTCCCGAGACAGGTCTTCTAGGGAGTGAGCCTGGCCGGCTCAGAGTGGGGATAGGAAGCTTCTCCAGAAGTAGAGAACCCTCTGGCCACCGGGAACATCGTCAGGACCTGGCAGTGTCACAAGGATCACGGCTGAAGCATTTGGTTTTATTCACCCTTGCCTCGTCTTGGACAGCTGACCAGGCTGCATGGGCTGAGGTGCTATTGCTGCTGCCCACATGGGCCCAGAGTTTTTTCCTGAGATGATCAGAGTTTGGGTTGCTGGGTCCTCAAGAAGCTAGTTTCCATTTTAGAATTTAAAAAAAAAACACGAAAACACTAATTTTTTCCAGTGGCTCATTGCTTCTCAGTCCTGTTGCTGAGTGGATTCTCCAAAGTACAGTTATTAATTATTGATGCAAGAAACAAACCTCACTGCTGATTATGCTGACCCATAGTGACCTTGTAGGGCAGGGTAGAAGTGCTTTTGTGGGTTCTGAGACTGTAACTCTTTGTGGGAGTAGAAACCCTTGTCTTTTGTCCTCAGATAAACTGGTAGTTTCAAGCTGCTGACCTTGAAGTTAACAAGGTCTGGATCAAGTGAATTCAGCCCAACGTATAATCATTATGCCACTAGGGCTCCATTGAATTGTTGATAACATTACTGATTTTCACAGTGTACCTGTCTTTAGAGATGGCAGTTTGTAAAATACACATTTAAAAAACACACCAAGGAAAGACTCCATTACATAGTGCCCCTTAGAGAACATCCATTGTACAAAAATATTTTAATAGATTACAGAATATTACTTTAGCCCAATATTTACAGTACTACACTCAGAAACATATTTACATAGTTAAGACCTCATCTATACACTCAAGAGTAAGTCTTAAAATTGTACAGCAGCATTTGTCTTTATCAATCACAAATGGTTAAAGAGCAATCTTTCCATGAGAGGGGCATATTAAACCAATTATTCTCAATAGAGCTACATTAGTTGATTGCTCGATGATCTTAGTCTCACTCCCCTACTTGTCTATAGCTAGTTTCTGAACTCTGCAGAGAAATAAGACACGGACTCAAAATGTTCTGACTCATCTCAAATGTGAAGAAAACATAATTTTCATAACACTTATCACTACATAACAGACATAATTAGTACTTTTTAAACCAATATGCTACAAATAATGTCTAACCTTCTTGAGACAAAATACCACTCATGTTATTATGATGTAAACTTAAACAATACTTAAAAGTACTGCAAAGCATTTGAACCTAGCATTTAGAATTGAGACATTTCATTTTAAACTTTGTTTTCCCAAAAAAAATGTATTTTAAAAACCTAACACTCATTTTTTAAACGCGAATAATAAAGCAAAATGCTATATAAGCCAAAGTGATTTCTATCCTAATGTTAAAATTCTTTATCGTCTCTTAAGAAAAAATATTATTTTAAATCCTAAAGCCAAATGCTAGGGCACAGACGACAGTGGATAAGTGGATAAGACAGCTGGAAAGTATATTTTAAATAGTTTATTTCTTAAGTTCAAGTTTTTGTTTTTTAGCTGTGTTTTTCTCTATTAGGAAAGAAAATTTTAGTTTTGAAAAACATTCACTCCAATTCAGAGGATGTGAATTTCAGATTTGGTTTCAACTAACATTGATAGTGTCCATTCTGCATTTGACAATTTGTTGAGTAATTTCATATAAATAAATGGCCTTTCTTTGTCAAACAATGTTTTTCTTGTATATGTGTCTATGTTGACTATAGTAATGTCATTATAGTTTAGAAGTCTTTTAACCCCATAGAGAAAATTATTTCCAAAGGATTTGTTTTTTCTTTTTAAAAAAAGGGGGCTGCGGGAATGGGGAATTCATGACATCCTATCATAGGTCACATAGATTTTTAGTTCAGTTATAGTGATTAGAAATTGATGTAGTAATATCTTTTCTGATAAATAATGGGCAAAAACTCAAAACTTTCCAGAATCAAGAAACCCTGAAAATACCTTTTTTTTTTTATTTTATTTGCCTGACAGTATACTTAATGTGACAGGATTTTGAAACCACATTTCTGGCGGGCTGCTCAAAGAAGCCAGAACCATTTGAATGCCACCTAGTGGTTCATTCTAGAATTGCAGCCAAATTTAAGTGGCTGTTTTCTTGCTGTTAGCTGAAAACATCCCATGATTTTGCTTTCTGAAACAATGACAGGAAACGACTATTTTCCAGACAATGAGATTCTCAGTTACATAAATAGACCACATGTGCTATTTGTACCACAGCAGGATTTCTCTTCTACCGGTTTCAGTTGTGTGTCCCCTCAGTGACTGAGCTCTCCTTCACTGGACTGGAAAAGGCGCCGAGTCTTTTCACATTGACCTAGATTGTATCTTGTTTTGATCAATTCAGAGTTAATTGAGAAATATAAAATTCTAGCCTATCCCCATCTCCTAAAACCCAGCGACATCCCATATTCTCATGGCATTCTTTCGAAGGCACTGGTGCTGCTTAGAGCAGCCACAGCAACTCCTCAGACTCGTTCAGAGCGGTGACGACAATCATGCTCAAAAAATTCCAGATGCCTTTGATTTGGCCGGCTAGTGCTGCTCCAGTCCTAAGTTCACGCCAACAAGGACCGTGCCAACTTCACCATGGAATGCAAAGGGGCTTTTCAAGAACCTCTGGAGAGAGGGGGACACTGTCGAAACCAGCATTCCTTGAGTGGTCACTGGGAACCCTCCCCTACAGCCCCTCCACTTACTATGTCATTGAAACCTGGTAAAATTGTGACTGTGAGAAACATCTGTTGATTATCCTTATATTTAAAAGGTTGCAGTGCAACGAAGGCAAAAAAGGAGAAAACACTGCAAAAAGAAACAGGTGGAGGAGATTCTGCCAGTTCTCTGCATGTAACAATGAGCAACACAATATTGGTCAGAAGAAACTGATGTCAACAGAATAAACTTGAAAACATAGCTGCAGAATGGATATCCTGAAGTCAGAATGAGCATTGCTTATAAAAGTCAAATCCCGATTAATATCAACTCTACAAAGATTTCAGCTTATTTCTTTGAACAGGATTCTGGGAGGTCTATCTGGGTAGCTTATTTGTTGTTCTTGTTACTCTGTCCCTTGTACAATTTACCAAGACCCAGAACTGGGGTACTTTTTCAGTAGCAATTAGATGAAGACACTATTTATAAGGTGCATGTTTTTTTCTTCGATTATCTGTGGATTTCAACTGTCCACGTGAATATGTGCTTGGCTGTCATACAGAATCTGATGTCATAGATCTGGCCACTGAGAAAGGCCAAACACAGCATTGCTGATGGTGGCGGCCATAGTTGGAGCGGGTCCGGGTTTCTACAGCTGACCTGGAGGCTTCTCCCACTTCCCGCATTACCACTCCAGCTGCAGGTCTGCTTTGCTCCACATGTATTTCCCTCCTCGCTTTAGGAACATCTTCTCATCAAACCCACTGCATTTTATAGCTGCTTCTACTCCAACATCCAGGATAGACTTCGAAGGATCCTTCCGTCCATTTTTACAGTTCAGAAAGCGCATCTAGGAAATCACATGGCAGGAAATGTGAATTTTTTATATATAACATGGACTATAAAACCCAACTTAAGGGCTAGATCCCAAATCACTTCTGGTATCCCAAGTATTTTAACAAAGGTCTGCTGAGAACTACATGGCAAAAACTTGACTAAAGACACTAATTTTCTTTAAACCCTGTCTCTACTCAACAAGTGTACATTCTAAAGGAAGAGCAGGCATAAATACATCAGACCAATTAAATGTATGTTGCATGTCTTACAAGAAGTATGTCCTTCTACGGGGGGAGTGGTAATCAAGGAAGAGATGAAGGATCAAGTCCCCAGAAGGTAACATGCTTTGATCTTTGCAAGTTGGAGAAAACAATGTTAGAAAAGCACAGGACAGGTGGGGGTGGAAGGGGGGAGGGAGGAGTGAGTGGTTAAAAAAAAAAAAAGAAAAGCACAGGAACACAGGGTCATACAATGTGTTTAAAACTATACGTTGAAAAAAAAAACCTATAGGTTGATGGTATTGCTCGGGTGCAACAAAGGCATATTTGAAAAGGGGAGAAACTGGTGAGATAGGTCCTGGGAAGGGAGACAAGGCAGGAGATCGAAAATAATCTTACCTAGCACTCCACAAGAGATCTTGATCTTCACTCTAAAACTAAGCACTTTGTAGTGAGTAATGAAGTCTTTTTACTTTGTATGACCTACCATGATATTGAGAGTTCTTCAGGGGGTCAAGTTATATTTGTTGGGTTCAAATGTTAATTTTCAAAAGCACATTTTGGCACTGGGAACCCTGGATGCAGGTAGATGTTGGGCGGCTACCTGCAAGGTTGACAGGTGAAGCCCCTGAGCCAATCCTCAAGAGACAAGAGGAGGCTGTCTCCTCCCCGGAGCCACACAGCCTTGGGACACCGTTTGGGTGCTGGGACTCCAACTGGGCTCCATGGCAGTGGGTTTGGGTTAGATTTGACTTAACTGGAGGTCAGCTGATCTGTTGAAGATTTGTCAAAATCTTGAATCAATCATGATCATTTGGATTTCAAAAATAAATTGTTTGAATTTTTCAATCTACCTTGACCTAATAAACTGAACATTTGCTTTATTACATTTCCCTTTATACTCCATAAAGAAAGCTCATATTGACAAGGCATCTAATTACTCTAATGCATCGTTAATTGATTTGAAAATAATAAAATACTAATGTTTAAAATAATAATTTCTCAAAAAAAACTAAATCCAAGTTAAATACTAAACTCATGGCTACGGTTAGAGCTTATATCTTAAAAAGTAGTCTTAGAATCTAATTATTTGCCTTCTGCTAGGAAGGTTAACAAATATGGTATCCAGTGGGAAGGAGTGAAAATGGAAAAGTGATTTGCTTTCCAACTCAGAGAAGTATGAATTTTCATTTTGTTGGAAACAGTGGTGGCATGGATATGCCAATGGCATTTGGAAAGGATATGTAAGTATCACCTCACCAGAGTCAAAGTTTATTGGTCAGAGGTCAAATTGGTAGTATATGGATTGTCAAGATAAATAGCCACCTGGTGCAAGACACCCTAGCTTCTCACTAGCAGAAAATGACCGGAGTGTTCCAGAGCTCAAAAAGAGGGCTTAGAAGACACACAAGAGACCTTCCTGCTTGATTTGTCTCCTGTAGCTCTTACTTCCCTGGGATGCTGTTACCAAGTCTGGCATGTTGTAGGACTCCAGGTCTTGGTCTGTGCTACGGAGCATAACAAGGCAAGGGGATATGTGGGGCCTTCTAAAGGAGATTTACTTAATACCTAAAATTTCTATCACCCAGAGCAAGTTTGAAATAAGAATCACTCGAAGAGTTCATCTTAGTTATATAAAGAAGTCTATGGGAAAAGATCATAATTAATTTAAGATACTCAGGGCCTCCTGGAAGATGAGAAACAGGTACTTAACTCTTTATAAGCAATATGTAAAGTCCCAAAGCTAGTGATGAGGGACAGAATGATCCAACCAAGGACAACAAGGTCCAGGACAGCAAAGACCTTCAGTCTAAGAACCAGAGTGCAGTAGGAGTCTGTTTTGTGAAGAAGCACAACGTGATGAGGTCCAGGGTTTGTGAGTGAAACTGGAAGTGCTGTCAGTCCCTGCCCAAACTGGAATGAATAGCTGAGTATAAAACCCCAATCATGAGTTAGAGCATCAGAGATAAAAGTTAAGCTCCACGTAGTTATGACCGCAGGAGAGGAAAAAAAAGAGTGGCATATTTTTGGATTAAATATGTCACAGTGAGAGGAAATGGTGACAGTAAAATAACACACATAATTTGCAACTAAAATGTGCAGTGCTGCTTCTTGTAAGGTAAATGTCATTCTCTATCACTGGGTCCTTAGTATTTGCAAGTAGTAAATCTAGAGCTCCTCAGTAGCAACTGAATGAAGCTATCAAATCAATGTGATGTTCTGTGACCTCCCTCTAACAGTAAACTGAATGTAGGATATTGTCCAGCCCCAAACTACTTAACAGCAGACTCTGATATTCATATTAGGTTCAATGTAGCATCCATGAAGCTATAGCCACCTGAAGACAATATTGCATAGAAGTTAGTGTGCTACAGGAACAAATACAAATAATGCCTATAAGAGTGCATAGCGCATACTTGAACACATTGAAGAAGGAATTCTATACTATTAATACCAACCATTGACAAGAAAAGTGCAAATGCTAGTTAAAAAGGACCAACATATACAAAATGGTTATGCTCATTATAAACCAACTGTCATTGCTACTATTTTAAGTGATCAATTTTTTTAATCGTTTTATTAGGGCCTCATACAACTCTTATCACAATCCATACATACATCAATTGTGTAAAGCACATTTGTACATTCATTGCCCTCATCATTCTCAAAACATTTGCTCTTCACTAAGTGATCAATTTATAACTCATTAGAAATACTCACATATTCATCCAGAATAAGGTAGGAATCTTTCATCTGTAGAGAAGATATTAAACATAAACTCAGTTTCAAGTGTTGTTTTCAGAATACAAATTAAACTGTTTTACAGTGTTTATGAGCTGGTGCTTTATTACCTACAGGTTCAACATTTCCTGTATTGAATGTATACCTTTTGGTATGTCGTTTATAAGTCACCTGTCTGTGCCCCATTACTACCTAAAACACATCTCTAGAGCCATTTGTTGGTTTGTCTATCCAGTCAAATTCCAAGAAGTTAGGACCACCTGATAGCTTCTGAGCCTATGAAATGCTCAGGCTCTAGTTCCTCATTTCTCTAGTTGTGGCAGAGTTTTTTATTTTCAAACCCAGGACTCATAGTGTATGTGTCCACCATACAAACACTTTCCTTGTTTTGTTTCAGTAATTGGTGGTGGTGGTGGTGGTGGTGGCTCCTTTGAGTTAAACCTGGCTCACAGCAAACCATGAAGAACAGAACAAAAGACTGCCTGGTTCTTTGTTATCCCCCAATGGGTTGTGGAAGTGTGCACCACTGTGATGCATAAGCTCTACACTGAGGCAGTTTCCTCACAGAGCACAAGGCTTTTCTCCAGAGAGCCTCCATTGTTCTGATGGTGGCTGTGCCTGAGGTAGTTCCAGTGATCAAGACTCACACTTTGATCACTGTATAGAAGGTAAAAATTCTACCACAGAACCACAAATGACCCATGAGTTATAAATTATAATGCTTTTAATGTGATATATTCCTGGGAGGTACAGGGTGGCCTTAACTGAGGATTTTAATTTTATGCTGATATTTCTTGTAAGGAACCTAGGTGACTGGTTGCTAACTTACAAGTTGGCATTTTGAAGCCTCTCCATGGCCCTTACAAGCAGTTTCTGTAGAGATTCTCATTGCCTGCCATGGCAATAAGAATTCATAGCATCCCTTTAGGACAGAGGAAAATTGCCCCGCAGGGTTTCCAAGGCAGTGATAACCAGAGCAAAGGTTCTATATCAAGGATTTTATTTTACTTGGCTCTGTTAGGTAGTTAGAATAGGGTATCCATGGTGCAGGCTCAGAAATTTGAGCTCTCAGCCAGGAAGGGGTGGTACACATACATGGGCCGTACACCTGGATTGGCCCATCTAGGCCTGGTGAATTTAATTCAGCCAATGGGGTCAACCATTACTGTCAACCACGCCTCCCACCGGAGGCCCTGAGAAGACAGGATCTGAAGCTCACCAGGCTTCTTTGTCCTCTCTGGCAGCTGCAGTGATCTCCTTTGGCCTCAGGGATCCACATGCAGGTGTGAAGTGCCCTGAGGGGGCCTGTGTAAAACCTGAACTGTCTTCTATCCTTTATAAAACTCCCTTGGATCACAAACCAGGCTTGGGAGTGAATTCTTTCTCATGTGAAGCCAAGGTCCTAAGTATTTCTCACCCAGGAGATCTAATGGATCCACAATCAATACTTATAGAAGCAACAGTTAAGAGACCAATCAACATATTTTTCTTGGCAAATGTGGTGTAAAGTGTTCAAGAGAAAAAAAGTCACTTTAAAGACTAAGGTGTGCCTGACCGGAGCCTTGGTCTTTTCCACCCCTTCACATGCATGTGAAAGCTGGACCCTGAACAAGGAAGAGAAGGATGGATGTGAGTGAATTAAGCTGTTGCCAAGGAATACTGGACAGAACAAATCTATGTTGGAGGAAGGACAGCCATAATGTACCTTAGAAGCATGGTACATGGTGAGACTTTGTCTCACCTACTCTGGACACCTTCTCAGGAGAAGGACTTCGTGCTTTGGTAGAGTGAGGGTCAGTGGAAAAGAAGAAGAACCGCCATGAGATACATTGACGCAGTGGCTACAACAAGGGGCTCAAACAGCAAACGTGATCCTGAGGACAGCTCAGGGTCAGGCAGAGTTTTCTTCTGTTGGACATAGTGTCACTATGAGTCGGAGTGCATGCCACCTAACAACACACAGCGCACGGACACACATACAACATATACACACATATAGCACACACACACACATATATATAATTTTTCCCCCTAATGTAAAAATGGTGCTCATTAGCAGATCACAGAACTGAAAGGAAGCAGAGTTTCTCATAGGTCTCAACTCTGACTCCCAAGACCAAATTCCTTCCATATCTCCATAAAATGCCCTTTAAACTAAGACTGCCTCATCCCGCACTGACCCATAGCTCTACATGAGGACAGCACTGGAAACACAGTGCGGAAATTGCACCCGATCTGGCCCCACCACACTGAGGCAAAACACTAAGAGTGTGCAACAGAACAGCAAGGGGAGCAGAGCAAGGAAGTCCTGAGGGAGTACCAAAAATAGACTTCGGGGCCAGGGCATGGCACCCTATCAGACTCAACCAGAAAACACTCCTAAAGGTCAACAAACAGACCCTGAATTATTTACAGGCTTTTCTATTTTTTTGTCATTCGTTTGTTGTTGTTTTGTTTTGCTCTGTCTTGTTTTTGTGCATATTGTTATCTCTGCAGGTCTATCTAAATAAGATAGGTGGGATAAACAATCTGGAGGAGAAAACAACAGGACCGATGCTTCTTGGGGGACATGGGAGAGGGAGAGGTGGGGGCAAGGAAGTGGTGTTAACAAACCCAGGGACAAGGGAACAACAAGTGATCCAAAATTGATAGCGAACAGGGTGTCAGAGGCCTGGTAGGGCTCAATCAAGGGCAATGTAACCGAGAGGAATTACTGAAACCCAAATGAAGGCTGAGCATGATAGTGTGACAAGAGGAAAGTAAAAGGAAATAGAGGAAAAGACTGGGAGGCAAAGGGCATTTATAGAGGTTTAAGTACAGGAATGTACATATGTAAATCTATATATGACGATGGGGAAATAGATATATGTGCATATATTTATAGGTTTAGTATTAAGGTAGCAGATGGACATTGGACCTCCACTCAAGTACTCCCTCAATACAAGAACACTTTATTCTATTAAACTGGCATTCCATGATACTCACTTTCCCAACAGGATTGCTGAAGACAAAGCAGGTGCATAAGCAAATGTGGTGAAAAAAGCTGATGGTGCCCGGCTATCAAAAGATATAGTATCTAGGGTCTCACAGGCTTGAAGGTAAATAAGTGGTCATCTAGCTCAGAAGCAACAAAGCCCACATGGAAGAAGCACACCAGCCTGTGTGATCACGAGGTGTCAAAGGGATACGTATCAGGCATCAAAGAACAAAGAAAATCATATAAATGTGAATTATGGGGAGTGCGGAGTGGGGACCTAAAGCCCATCTTTAGGCAACTGGACATATCCTTATAGAAGGGTCGCGGGGAGTAGAAGAGTCAGTCAGGGTGCAGTATAGCAATGATGAAACGTACATTTTCCCCCTATTTCTTAATTGCTTCCTCCCCCCCGACTATCATGATCCCAGGTGTACCTAACAAATCAGGCTAGAGGATGTACACTGGTACAGATAGGAACTGGAAACACAGGGAATCCAGGACAGATAAACTCTTCAGGACCAGTGGTGAGGCTGGCGATACTGGGAGGGTGGAGGGTGAGAAAGGGGGAACCAATTACAAGGATCTACATAAAACTCCCTCACTGGGGGACAGACAACAGAAAAGTGGGTGAAGGGAGACCTTGGACAGTGTCAGACATGACAAAATTATAGTAATTTATAAATTATCAAGGGTTCATGAGGTGGGGGAGGGGGGAAATGAGGAGCTGATACCAAGGGCTCAAGTAGACAGCAAATATTTTGAGAATGGTGATGGCAGCAAATGTGCAAATGTGCTCGACACAATGGATGGATGTTTGAATTATAATAAGAGTTGTACAAGCCCCCAGTAAAATGATTTTTTTTAAAAAGAGTTGTACAAGCACCAATAAAATGATTTTTTTAATTGAAAAAAAAAATAAGACTGTATAGATTGCCTTGAACAAGAAGCAGCTATTTATCTCTGGTGAGTCAATCTATATATGTGATAATAAAGAAACCAACTTTGGCTTTATACAACCTTCTGGTTTGATTCAGGCACCAAACAGGAAATCTCTTTGTGGCGGTCTAAGAATCCATCAAACTCTTCATCACTAATGACAAATCTTTCTGCTTCTCTCAGCGCATCGTCACCAGAATTCTCCCCATCAATTAACAGGCATTGGAAAACCTGAAAGGCAAACATAGTGTTTTCATGAAAATATCCTTTATTATTTTTTGCCCCTCTTAATTTCCCTCTGATTCAAGCTTCATCTTTCTTTGAGCAAAGAAGGCTAAGGATCATCCCATAAACATAATACTTTGGGGAAATGAAAATAAAATTGAAATTCATGAATATGGTAAAAGAAGTGTCCATACTCTTAAAACATAAAACTGACCTATACTTTATTTGACTTATATATATAAAAGTTATTTTTAAGCTAAAAATGAATAGTTCCCTCAAGATTCCTTAGCCCTCAAACCTACACAGTGGTCTGAGTGGCTTAAAGAAAAAAGGTGGAAAGTGAAACTGAAAAGGACAAACTTGCGACAAACAAGTTCACTTCAAACAATAACATACACACACACAAATGAAGGAAATAGAGAACCTAAAGAAAAGTACAAGAACATAAGTGAATCAGTTAGTTTCAAAACCAAGAGAAAAGTATTTTCAATATTTCTAGTTTCTTTCCATTTTTAAAATATCCTTATCAAATTTACATAATTTGTTTTTCAGAGAATATATAAGGACCGTTTTACAATGTTATTAAATATTTACTTTTAATACTTTTTAAATGTCTATCTTTCTATTTTTTTTATTGTAAGCAGTACCGTTATCTGAAAAGAAAAATTTCTTCCCCAGAAAGGGCAGGTGACGTAGGAAGACAAACAGGTGGAGAAAACCAAGGGCAGAGTCTGAACAGGTCCCAGGGCACCCTGGTTCTCAAAGGGCGTTAGCTAATGTCATTTTTAGAATGATTCTAATATTTTAGTCAGCTGAGAATAAACTCAGAAAATGCTTTAAATATCACCTTCTTTATTAACTCTCATTTATGTATTGCCTTGGTCACACGTTCTTCTGGGATCCCCAGGTCTCTGAGACACAGTGCCACTGACCCTGATCTCCCTGTGGGTCTTTGGTTAGATGTGTTTGCGTTCGCGGCTGTGCTCCCAACGAGACAGTGAGCACCCCCAGAAGCTTGCTCGTCTCCACAGCACATTCCTATTTGAGACAGAGAGGAGGACGGGCAGGAGGCCAAGGAAGAGCGATCTAAGGAAGTCTGAATCTTAGCAGACTGGAGTCTCAGAGGGATAGTGTGACCAAACTTGAGGATGACGCTACCCACAATGTCTTCTCATAACTCAATAAAAAATTTTAGTCCCATCAGAATGATGTGGAGAATATACCCATTATAAATAAGCAGGAGTTTTAAGAAGACATCCAGTCATATTAAATTAGAAAAACAGATGAATTTAGACTTTATGCTGAAATATTCTTTTAGAATATCTCCAAGCACTTAGCATAGCTCTTGAACTTAACTTTCATAAGATTCTAAAAAGAACCTCCTTCTAGTTTTCAGACATGAAAATGGCAGGGGTGGGGTGGGGGGGAGAATCATATTATCGTGAATGAGGGTAGCGCATGATGGGGACCCAATGCCCATCTGTAGACAACTCCCTTGCAGGGGGTAGTGGGGAGGAGATGAGTTCCTCAGGGTTCAGTGTAGCAATAATGAAACTCACAACATTCCTCTAGTTCTTAAACGCTTCCTCCCCCAAACTACCATGATCCCAATTCTACCTTGCAAACCTGGTTAGACCAGAGGATGCACAGCGGTGCAGATGGGAACTGGAAACACAGGGAATCTAGGACAGATGAACCCCTCAGGACCAGTGGTGACAGTGGCGATACCGGGAGGGA